GCAGGCACAGCTCCTGGGGGAGAGCATCCCTTGGCCTCGGGAAGAGCATCCCTGGGGGCATGCGTGTCCCAGCCTTGGGGACAGCATCCCTCAGCCTCGGGGAGAGTGTCCCTGGGCTTTGGGGAGAGCGTCCCTGGGGGAATACGTGTCCCAGCCTCGGGGAGAGTGTCCCTGGGCTTCGGGGAGAGCGTCCCTGGGCTTTGGGGAGAGCATCTCTCTTGGGGAATGCATCCCTTGGCATTGGGGAGAGCCTCCCTGCTCTTTGGGGAGAGCATCGCTGCGGGAATGCATCGCTCAGCCTTAGGAAGAGCATCCCTTGGCCTCAGGGAGAGCATCCCTGAGCCTTGGGGAGAGCATCCCTTGGCCTTGGGGAATGCAGCCCTTGGGGAACGCATCCCTTAGCCTCAGGGACAGCACCCCTCCACCCTGGGGAAAGCATCCCGCGGGGCACACATCCCTCCACCTCGGAGAAGGCATCCCTCGGGCCGAGCGTCCCTTGGGGAGAGCGTCCCTCGGGGAAGGCGTCCCTCGCCGGGGCGCTGCCTGCATCCAGCCAGGGCTCAGGAGAAGGTGACCACCTCGCCCTGGGGGTAACTGGAAGAGAGGACGTCTTGGCAAGTGTCTGCAATTAAAGACAGAAGTATTAAACACGCCGTTGGACACTGCTTTCATCTGCTGTTTCTGGAGAAACAGGAGAGGGAGAGCGAGACTGAGCTTTCAGGGGACCCAAACTTTGCAGGGTGCAGAAAACAGAGTAACTACAAAATGAAATGGCCTTCTCCGGAGGGATAAAATGCTGCTATTCCATCAGTAAATCAGAAAAAAATGTTTTAAAAAAGCCTCCGAATGGACCCAGTGATGGAGACTTGGGAAACGACTCTCCGAAAGGAACCAGACGTGGAGTCAGGGCGATTTTGAGGGTAAAAATGCAGAGCAGAGGAAAGCAGTCATCCCTGCTGCCGCTCCCTCCTCCCAGAAAGCTGCTCTTGACCAAAACTTCCCAAGCCAACCCCAACCCAGATGTCCCAAGGCCAAGCCTGGTGCATTAATAGCCCGCTGTGTTTTTGCTTGTGTCTCTCTCTCTCTCCCTCTCATTCGTTATCATTGAATTAATTAACATTGATTGGAGCTCTGAGTCACAACACCGCCTCTACCCATGTGCCAGGACCCCGTTTCCAGGCAAGGGGCCGTCAGACGGGGAGACAGCGCCTGATCCACCCAATAAACCACGGAGCTGCCCTTTCCACCCAGGGATGTGGCTGCAAAACCCCACACCAGCTCCTGACCGTGGGGTTGTCCCAGCTGTGCCCCCCTGAAGACCGAACACAGCTCCAAAAGCATCTCCTTTCCCCTAAATCACAGAATCCCAGAATGCCAGCATGGCAGGGGTTGGCAGGGCCCTCTGTGGGTCACCCAGCCCAACCCCCTGCCCAAGCAGGGTCACCCAGAGCAGGC